TGCGGGTCCCAGTGCGTGTACCCCTGGGTTGGCTGAATCTGAGGCCCTCAACCACAACGGTTTTGGGACGTCTGGTGTTTCCACGCCCCTTCCCCTCAGCCAAACCCAGTCTAACGGAGCGCCCTGGTCCATTAACACCCCTAAAGTGTCTTCAGAAGCAGCAGGCGCTGGTGCAGGCAAGTCACACAAGCAGGGCGGTAACATTTTCAACAGACTTAAACCGCTTGTGGCACAGGGGTCTGGAGATCCAGTTGGCCGGGCTCGTAAGATGCAGCTCCTCCAGCAGCAACACCAGCAGCAGCAGGATACAGGCCAAGAGAGGGCAGATGGTGTCAAAGCATCATTACCTTCATCCTCCTCTCTGTCAGCAGGATCGTCTCCTCTGGCTGCAGGGGGGGCCGTCGGACTATCCTCGCCTTTCTTTCCCCTCTCCAAGCCCCTGCTTCCCACTCCACCCTCTGCCCTATCATCACACCCTTTGCACTCATCTCAGCCTTTTAACGGAGCACCCAAAGTGGGCCCTGCTGGATTTCTGCACCAGCAGATGGAGGAGGATGATTCTGACCCTGATCTGGGGAGTCCACTGGTGATCCAAGAGAGCCCCGACTCCCCGACTTGCACTCAGCTGAGCCGGCGCTACAAGTCTGACTCTGTCTCAACACAGCCCACATCCTCTGCTGCATCTCAGCCTAAACCTGGAGACACTCCTTCAGGGGCGTCTCTGACATCAACACCCCAGTCTGGCTCCACAGAGAGTCCTCAGCTGGAGGACAGGCATCCCGAACACGTAATAGAAGAGAGAGACTCGCCAGAGAGTCCTGAACCGGAGATGCCAAAATCTACTGCTCAAGCGGCAAACAAAAGGTGCTCCAGCCCTGCGGTGGCCTCCACTCCGCCTCCTCCTGAACTCCGGGAGCCCAAAGAGGAGGAGGAAGAGATGGAAGTGGGGAATAAAATAGAGAAGGCTGCTGATGGCAAAGGGGACAAGGGAGAAAATGGAAGAACAAGTGAGGAGAAGATGGATGTAGATGATGGCAAGCCTAAACCTCTGTCCACTGATGGAGGAAAGGCAGCTGCTGCACCTGCTGCTGGAGCTCCAGCCCGACCCCTTAAAGTCAGAATAAAAACAATTAAGACTTCCACAGGTGGAATCACCCGAACTGTCACAAGAGTAGCAGCTAAAGGTGGCGCTGCGGGAAAAGGTCTGGACCCAAAAACTGGGGAACGTAAGGTGGTAGGAAACAAGGCGCAAAAACTTGACTCCCCGGGTCACATGACAACTAATTCCCAGAAAGTAACTGCTCTCAATGCTCTACCTGTGTCTACACTCGCAGCCAGCAGCGTCATGCTAGCTGCTGCCACCAAGGTCCAAAACAAAATGGCTGCATCTGACAAGGCCAAGGTTTCTGCCACCGCTGTGAGCATCACTAAATCTGCTGCCCTGCCTGCGACCCCAGCTGTGGCCTCCTCTCCAAAGTTCTCAGTGGCTGCAGGTGGGATCAGTGTACGTACATCCACTAATAAGACGGCTAACGGAGGCAGTGGCACTATCATTGGTGGCACCCTCCAGCCAAACAAACCAGCCTCCATTGTCAACAGCACAGGAGCCGTCATCTCCCGCAGTCAGTCGAGCCTGGTGGAGGCTTTCAACAAAATCCTGAACAGTAAGAACCTTTTGCCGAGCTACAAGCCGGACCTCTCAGCCCCTCCACCACCTGAGTGGGGTCTCCCACTCCCAGCCACAGGGTACCGCTGCCTGGAGTGTGGAGACGCTTTCGCCCTGGAGCGCAGCCTGGCTCGGCACTATGACAGGAGATCTCTCCGCATCGAGGTGACCTGCAACCATTGTGCGAAGAGGCTGGCCTTCTTCAACAAGTGCAGCCTGCTGCTGCATGCCAGGGAGCACAAGGAGCGTGGGCTGGTCATGCAGTGCTCACACCTGGTGATGAGGCCGGTCACTGTCGAGCAGATGATTGGACAGCAGGACATAACACCCATCGGTGGTGAGTATGGATGCGACGATCAATAATCTTTACTGTTTGTTAATTTGTTACAATTTCATTCATTTTCGGGCAATACTATGTCAGAAAACAGCAAATCCATTCTTAGGGTGCTGAGATGAATTTTATCGGCCAACACCGATTGTTGTTTGCAGATATTTGTTCTAAATAGTTTTGTAGTGATCTCTTTAAAGACCAATCAGATGAAACTTAACACGTGAGCTAAACTTGTCTGTTGTCTCTGTCTCTTGTAACTACAATGTGTCGCTTGTCAGTTTTAAAGTCACTATTCTTCCAGATCTCCTAAAAATAATACTTATCTTGATATAAACTGCTGTTTAAACATAGCTAATGATAAAAAATCAATGTACTATTAAATAAGACCATAAAGAAGCAGGCAAACATTAAAAAATTAGGAACCTGAAGAGCTGTAATCTGATTTTGGTTATTAATCAACAGATTCATTTTGTTTTGAATCGTTTTAGCTCTACATTTATATTTCAACTAGTGTAGAGAGTAGGGCTGCTCGATTATGGCAAAAATCATAATCACGATTATTTTGGTCAATATTGATATCACGATTATTAAATACGATTATTCAGTGACTTTGCAAACATCCATATATTGAACTTTAAACAAAAAACAAATGGAACAGTATGTTTTTAACAGTTGATTACCCTGACCTTTAAGTATAATTCAACTGAAAAAACAAAAAATTCAATAAAAAATTGAATTATACATTTATATCTTCATTTAAATAAATATTATAAAAATAATAAATACCAATAAAGAAGATCAACAAATATTTTGGAGCACACTTCCACAACCTACTAAACATATAAATATGATAACTAATCTTACTCAAAACCTGTAATGTTTAATTATATTGTACTCAAACAGGAAACAGGAAGTAGCTAAAAGGCTCCAGCTTGACGAGGTTAGTAAAAGATGACTGTACGCTAGAGACCGGAGAATAAACACACACGCTTCCCTTGTAACGTGTCTATATGGATTTATTAAACAGACTGCAAGTCGCAACACAACCTGGCCGAGAGGGCTTTCAGGGAGGGGGCGTTATACATCACACATGTATAACGCAAGACAAATTGAGAGCATCAATGCGAAAGGGAAAGCAGCAAAATAATCGTTTTCGAGATTAAAATACGATGAATTGCACAGCCCTAGTGTAGAGTATTGTGAAGAACCATAAAAAGTAGGTGTTCTGATAATAATGAAAAAGCTCATCACTCATTTGTGTTTCATCTCCATTGACCACGTCCCACCTGTCTCTCCTGACCTCCACCTTTGGTTGACCAGGCCTGCTCTCCTCTTCGTCCTCCTCTCCTCCAGTCTCCTCTTCTTCTGCCACCCCCGCCGCCTCTGCCAACTCCAGCCCCCTGAAGGACGCTTCCTCTCCGGCAGCAGCTCAGCCTCGAACGGTCCGCCGCGCACCTCAAGGCCCCCAGGCCCTGATGCCCCTGCCCTGCAAGAAGGCCGAGGGGCTGCAGTATAACAGCTTCAAATGTCCAGAGTGCCAAACACAGTTCTCTGGCAAGGCGGAGCTGGTCACTCACTTCCAGCAGATCAGAGCTGCTCCCAACTCAGTGAGTCTTTGTCTCTATGACGCTGGTACCTGATGTTAAGAAACACTGGTGATCACCGTTTGATTTGCTTATCTTCTGTTTCAGACGTGTACGCTGTGCTCGCCCCCCATGATGCTGCCTAACTCGTGTGCAGTGTCGGCCCACCAGAGGATCCATAAACACCGAGCGCCTCATGTCTGTCCAGAGTGTGGGGGGACCGCCCGGCAGGCCAGCTTCCAGACTCATCTGGAGGAGGCCTGCCTGCACTTCGCCAGGCGCATCGGATACAGGTGGGGAAACACTTCCAGAAAACATCAAGACCTTAAATACTTCTCTGAATGATCTTGTAATATAGCTTCAAATCGTGTCTATGCAGAGTAAATCACTGACTATTTATTTCACATCGGCTATTCTTTTTTATAGATGACCCAGAGCACCAAAGGGACACTTGATGCTTAATACTTGAGTGCATTAAAAACTGAATTTGTTCTTTGATTATCTTCACCAACAGTTGTTTTTAAGCAGAGTATTATTATTTGTTATTATTTAAGAAAGTAGAAAATCATATATCTTCACTTTCCAGAACTGTTCTTGTAGATCTGCCAAAAATGTTCAGTAACCAGCCAAAGTTCAACATGTTTATTGAGTGATTCAAAGTTGAAATACAAATGGCTTGTGTTTAAGGAGTCACATTTGCATCTGCATTTTGTCAATGCATTGGCCATTTTCCTAATTAGATGCAAATAGACACAAAAAGTAATGTCTACTGATTTGAAATGTTTATAGTGGACATCTAGGAATATACACATCAAAGACATCCTTTAAAATATCTTGTACCCTAACACATCATTCTCTGTGTCATAATCTTCTCCAGGTGCTCGAGCTGCCAGGTTGTGTTCGGAGGGTTGAATTCCATCAAGTCCCACATCCAGACCGCTCACTGCGAGGTCTTTCACAAGTGCCCCAGCTGCCCCATGGCCTTCAAGTCTGCACCCAGCGCCCAGAGCCACATCAGCACCCAGCACCCAACGCTCACTGGGGGACAGGCCAAGTGCGTGTAGACCCTCTACCAAAACAACACGTGATCATCTTCAACCCATGTGTAGGAAATACCTTGGTTGCCACACATTTTGAAGTTTTCTTTTCATTCTTCTTTTGCAGAATGATCTACAAGTGTGTGATGTGTGATACGGTTTTTACCCAGAAACCCCTGCTGTACATGCACTTTGACACTCACTTAGCCAAGCAAAAAGTGCATGTGTTCAAGTGCCCTGACTGCACCAAGCTCTACGCCCAGAAAGGATCCATGATGGAGCATATTAAGGTGTGTTTCTTATTGAGGAAACAATCCACAGATCATAGATGTTAGTTCATTAGATCCTGCCCAATATCACTGGAATTCATGTATTAGCCTTTTGCCCTTATGTGTTGCCCATTCGTTGCTTTCTACAGTGAATGTGGTGTCAAATAAGGCATTCAGCAATTTCTTGTATCGGCCTTAGCAAGGTTCCTCCCCAGTGGCCTTGTCTTAACCAAGAACAGTTATAGTACCAGAAATAAGTTTGTGATTTTTTTGTGCCAGTTGGAGTACGTTTGTTTCTTTTTGTATACTCTGTACGCTCTGTGTTTTCTCACACTCCCCTGTGTCCCCCCTCAGACGGCTCACAGAGGCCCATCAGCCAAACAGACGGAGTCTCAGTCCGACGCCTCGGCCCCCCCCGCGGCCCCCGCCAACACGTCCGCCTCCTCCGGCCTCAAATCCAAATCGTCTGGAAAACCGGACAACTCAGACGGAGAGGACTGGGGTCGGGACCAGGAGGAGGAAGAGGAGGAGGAAGATGATGAAGATGACGATGCTGACGATGACTTCGAGGCTCCAGGCGGTAACTCGACCGCCCCGGGGGGCAGCAGTCAGCCCCCCGCCCCAACTGAGTGGACCTGCCCTCAGTGTCAGACCACCTTCACTGACAACGACGACTATCTGAGTCACGTGAAGACGGAGCATGGCAAGGTACAGCAAGTTCCCATTATTTTCTATTTTAATCGGATTAATATCTGTGGTTAATCCAAGATTAAGAGATTTTCTTGTTTTATTCTACGACATTAAATACGCCAAATACCCCAGTGGTAAATGGCAGAAGCTTCTTTGTTTCCTAAAATTGGTGGTTGATAAAGCATTACGCCAAACATCTGCTTCCTTTGGCTTAGCGGTGATTGACCCCGAGCCATCCATCCGTTATGTAGTTTGTTTATAGCCAAACGATCATTTTGTACTCCTGTCAATTGCATTTACACTTTAAAAAAGCATAAAAGTGGTGTTAATATGCACATATTATCCTACTGAACAAAATGTGTGTGCATCAAAAATTTGTGTTTGCCATGGTCCTATATTCCAAGGTCCAATTGCTTTTTTTTGTAGAGGAACCCCATGGAATTCTTATTTTCAGGGTTGGCTTTTCATAAACACATTACATTTCATTTAGCTGACGCTTTATCCAAAGCGACTTGGAGTAACTAAGGACTAAGTGCCTTACTCAAGGGCACACTAGTGGTGGTGTTCCTGGCGGGATTTGAACTCACAACCTTCCGATCTTCAGCCCACCTCACTATCCCTCAGACCACCACTATCCCTCTCATACATTCATACATACACACATACACACATACACACCATCTCTGCACCACTGTATTGAATCCAATGATTAATGCACCAACAGTTTAACTAGCTAATTGTACTCTGTGAAAGGAGGAATGACCCTGATCATGGAGGGTAAAGCAGAAAAAGAAGCACCGGTACTTGAAGGCTTGAGGCTGTTAATCTGCACTGCAGTATCTTTGACTGAGACTCAATTTGTTTTTATCTTACCTCTATCTGCCTTTGTGTGTGCCGCCAACTCCAAAGTTCCCTTGTCGTATTTGTGGGGGCACGTTCAGCACGTCTTCCAGCCTGAGACGTCACGAGCGAGTCATTCATGAGGGCAACAAGAGGGTCTTCCATTGCCAGTGAGTGGCCTCAGCTTTTATTAAATACATGTTTTATCATTTCAATGTTTCACCAAAAGAAAACCACTGACTGATCTACTGTTTATGCATCTGAACTACTGCTATATTGTAATCAGAATTTAAAAAAATCCCAAATGTCAGTCATTTTATAGTCCAAAATGTTTTTATATGCTTTTTTTAACACTTCATAATAATTTGTCAGATATTGCACAGAAGGGAAACGCACCTTTGGTAGTCGGTTCCTACTGGACAAGCATATCCGGCTCCATCACAGAGCCACAGACGGACAGGTGAGTTTAGACGGTTTCTGGACACTACACCATGCATATTGCATCATTTCCTGCTATAACAAAACAGTATCATCTTTATTATTATAACTGCAAATAGTATCTTTTAATATGTTTATACAGTAGCACAGTATACAATGTGAATGTAGCGTGGATATAACGAAAAGGTTCTAGTTTGTAGTTTAGTATGTTTTTTCTCTTAAATGATGGCAAGCACTTTGAATTGCCTTGTGTTGAAAGGTGCTATATAAATAAACTTGCCTTGCCTTAAATAGTTAATAATAATTTAATTGTGTGTTAGGTGTCTGTTGTATAAATTGTCTTTATTAATTATGTACTGTGGAATTTGGAGACAGCAATGGTGTTCATCAAAAAATAAATTCAGAGCAATGTTTAGTCTCTCTTCCTTTTTGTGTCCCTCAGGAAAGACCCATGACCAGGAAGCGAGCAGCGACAGGGGGGGAGGGGCCCGGCAGCTCCTCGGAGCAGGACGGGGAGGGGGGGCCACCTGGAGCCCGGGGGGGAGACGAGGAAGAGAACACAGAGGAGGGTGAGGAGGCTCCTTCAGGTCCCCCAGCTCCTGCCAAGAGGACCCGGCAGTCCGCTGCATCGACATCGCTGGCCCCCAACGAGCTGGAGGAGGAAGACAACGTTTTCCGCTGCGTCCCCTGTGGCTTCTCCAGCGAGGACGGGCCGGAGTTCCAGCGCCACATCCCCCAGCACCGCGCCGACACCGCCTCCTTCCAGTGCCTGCAGTGCGGCGTCTGCTTCGCCTCGGCGGGCTCCCTCAGCAGGCACCGCTTCATCGCTCACCGCGTGCGGGACAACCAGGGCGACGCAGACCGCGGCCCCCCCCGCGCTCACGGCTCCCCCGACGGCTCGCCCGACGGCTCCCCTCAGGCGCAGGGCGAGGACGGAGACGGAAACATGAGCTGCAAGGTGTGCGGCCGGCGGTTCGACAAGGCCTCGGACCTCAACACCCACTTCAGGACCCATGGCATGGCCTTCCTCACCGCACACAAGACAGACAAGCCCCAGTAGAGGACGGGGGGACGGGGGGGGGGCTCTGAGATCATCTACGAGGAGTCGACAGGATGTAGAATATGAATGTTAATCCTGAGAAGAAACAGCTGCTTCCTGTGCAGTTTCTTTTTACCCACATGAACAGTTTTACTCTAATCTACGGCGCCTCTTCTGTGCGATTGTAACTGCATGTTTGATCACGTGACTGAACACACACCAGTGATAGACTCCTTAGTGGAAAGGCTCTCAAACGGCCCCGAGGAAAGCATTTATATATCAGCCATACTGTGTTCAATACGTTGTGTCCTTCCATTTCACTCTGCACTGACTGTAGCCACTTGCCTGTTTTTCCATGTAACACTAATATACATACGCCCCCCCCACCCCACTAAATCCTGACAGCTGTAGTGCCGATATTTTTGTACCTGACATTGTTTGTGTTTTTATACGTTTGTCCATGTTCATTATTTCCAGCATGGGATCATTTTTATTGTTTAAAACTGATCTCGAGACGCATGAAAAGGGGGGTGTTTGAAGAATTTAACACAGATTTTTATGTTGCTATATTTATTTATACGAAACACATTACTGCTATTGGTATTTGTGTGAGTCGGACATGTTGAGATTTACGAAGGAAGTCATTAGAGATGGGGTTACTGGAGGTCTGTGAGCTGTGTAGTGTGAATAATGTGCGTTAATCGTTAAGCTAGAAGAAGAGCGGTCAGGCGTCCTGCCAGTAGAATATGTGTACGTTTATCCCTGTAAATACATATTACACTAAAAGAAAGCATTCTGGTTTTAGTAACTTGCTATGATAATGTGAATACGTATAGTATTTGTACTGTTCCCTTTCTTCAAAAAAAAGTTTAAAATAATTCCCCCCCAGAGGTAGCTATACATTGTAATTACAAAGCGGAGGGAGAGCGCGGGGGTTGTGTTGTCTTAATGTGTATGAATACAAACGTTTATCTCTTGGGACAGTTCTTTTTTATCGACAGAATCAGTGCTTGCTGTACTCACTATTTATTTTATATGTTTTTAAAAGCAGCCTTCATGGTCATGTGACGGAGGCCTTCTTTTGTTTGTATCTTTTATATGTCATGATATCATATTTATATAGCTCAATAGTGGAACATCTTATGTATTTTTCTTTTCCATGGTTGTGGTCTGCTTGCCATACACTTTGTGCTGTTTCGAAAATAAATGTGTAAAAGAGACGATTGACTTCATCTGCAGAGTCACACACAGTGTTTACAGCTTCTTTCTGTTTACAAATGGGACTGTTTTCATTTATCTGCACCAGAATAGATATTCAAATAAAACAGTTAGACATTTACAAAGACAATATAAATAGCATTTACTGCACACATGACAGTTTTTCTCCTCTTTATCATGGCTAAGCAGGTTTTACACACTCCGGCCCCATCTTGCCCTCAGTGACCTCCAGACACGAGGTCTGGAGCTCAGCCGCAGTGGGGGGGTGGTGGACTTCAATCATCAGCTCGTAGATCAGTGTTCCCAGCAGTGCCCCGACACAGGGAGCCACTATGGGCACCCACCACCACCCGCCTCCGGCCCTGTGGAGAGATCATTCACGTGGGTCAAACGAGGGCATATTTCACAGATTAAATCAATGGCCTGGGTCCAATTACTCACTTAAAAACATCCACCCCCCAACCGGCGATGTATGTGAAAAGTCGAGGCCCGAAATCCCTGGCCGGGTTGAGGGCATAGCCGCTGTTGGAGCCCATGGAGATGCCAATCACTAACACGGCTGCCCCCACCAGCACAGGCTGAGCTCCGTCAGGGAGGGGGCTGTTCCTCCGGTCGCCCAGAGCCAGGACACACAGCAGCAGAGCAGCCGTGCCGATCACCTGGAGGACATGGGAGTGTTACACACATGAAGAAAGGCACCGTGTGTGTGTATATATATATTTAGAGCAGAATGACATATTCAAACCTGGTCCACCACTCCCCCCCACACACTGAGGTAGTCAGCTGGGTAGGTGGCGAATATCCCTGCCGTGGCAGTGGGACCTGTCACTGTCAGCACTCCTCCGCTGTACGTCTGGATGGCATCTGTGGACAAACACATGTAGCATTACCAGACTGATGTGAGCATGATTCAAGTACATAGAAGTTGTGCTACTTAAAAAATAAAATAAAATCCTATTTATTGAATAATTATCTTTCAGTGTAACTAAATATGTACTGATGTACAATTAATTGTCAATGACTACTATTTTCAGGGATCAATATTATTTCCAAATTGTAATGAAGTAGATTTCAGTGCGTCTTAATGGTGTCTCAGAGCAGAACAATCGAAGTACACTTAAATCTGTTTTAGTATATACCAGATACAAAGTCATATTGTTTATAGTAATCCACTGAAATGACCGACAGTCTCTTAAAAGTCCTAATCCAATAGTCCCTAACAAATGTAAAAGTTATTCTACATTTAGTATTACTTGATTGAAACTACAGTACCCAGCTGTTTTTGAAAGTGATTGTTCCTTTTTTGCAGAAGGAATCTTTGTGACCTGTTTTTCTGAATGGGCTTTGGGCCACAGAAATGGTTGGTAAGTTAATAAAAGAAAAAGAGACGGACTAATGCACGTTGACAATAAGACAAAGGGCCAGATTTTTCCTTTAATGTGGACTGTCCTCTTGTATATTTAGAACATTTCTGGTTCTTCAGCATATGGTGTGATTGTGACTGCAGTGATCATGGTTGAACTCACCGTAGTACTGCAGGCCGACGGTGGCAGCAGCCAGAAAGGCTCCGAGCATCTGGAAGAAGACGTAGAAGGGCAGCTTCAGCCAGGGGTGTCTGCCCAGAACACACAGGCTCAGAGAGACAGCAGGGTTCAGGTGGGCGCCTATGGAGGAGAAGAATGAAGAATGAGACTCAGAATTTAAAAACAGATGTAGGTCTCCTGAAATCGACAAAAATAGAATGTCTGGATTACTCCCAGCGTTTCCAATGGTGTCTTCCATTTCATTCATTATGTGTACATTGTTGGAGCACATTAGAAGTTCCTTTAAAAGAGTACTCTGCCAAATCTGCACTAATAACACTGTCATGATTGACATGTTAAAAAAAAACAGAGACAACATCTTGTTCCATTATAAACCTGGCACCTTTACCCACAGAGCAATTCAACTCTGACAGTTAAGGTTTATTTTATTCCTCCTTTTCAAACTGGTAGTCTTCAGCTCCAACCTGGGGGAATAGCATTTTTAAAAAGTGAACTGAAGGTTGATATAGCCCCTTACCTGAGACTCCACGAGACACAAAGACCCCAAATGTTACTCCCAGAGCAAAACCCAGATTGATTGACAGGTACTGTCCCTTCTTATCTTCAGTTGTGGTCACCTGGGCAACGGAGCCACATCCAAATAGCTGCAATGAAATGAAGAGCTATATTAGAAGAACATAACAACCTGTGTGTAAAAAAATAAAACATTAAGAGCAGTGAAAAACATTAAACTGAATACAATCTGCATGACTTTACAATGTATTTAAACAACTGCAGCTTTTTAGATGTGATTCAACTTCAAATGTACTTGCTTATTTGCACACAGAACAGTCCAGCATGATCAGATAAGAGGACACACATCGTTGGAATAATTTCCTTTTTTATGAACTTTGCTGAGGAGCCTGCTTTACGATTTGGGTTGTAAACGTTAATTGCCCCGACAGGAGAGACAGCTGCAGAGACCAAGAAACATCTCTGCTTCATACCAAATCACTGATGCCCCACCCTCGCTCTAATCCTCCCCTCTCACCTCGTCCTCCCCACCCACTGGCTCTCTCTCTCTCTCTCTCTCTTTCATACTGTCTGTCTGTCTTTCAGGCCAAAGTCCTTGGTTATCTATTGTGCGGATTCACATCTTGCTTCAAAACAAGGGAGTACGTATGTTATTGCTTTATTGCTTCAGATTGATTAAATACTTGATGTTGAGTTTACTGATCAGGTGACAGTTTTGAAGAACAGCTAGAGAAGGAATGCATTGTATTTTGTATTTGACAGCACATTCTATTAAATGCATAAGGCTGCAGCTACTGTAAATATATACATTTGAACAGAAACATGTTTTTACAGAGGAATTTTAAATATTCAAGGACACCAAGTATTGAAATTGACTTTGATTGCTGTAAATCTTATGCTTTAAATTGAGATCTATAAGTTGAATACTCACAATGAGGACGTAGACCCCGAGGCATTCGGCCATGCACTCCCTGACCAGCTGGTTTCTGATGTGACATTTCCTCAGCAGCCTCTCCATCCCGGAGCTTTCCTCGGGCCACAGCTGATCTTTCAGAGCGGGGCCGGTGGCTGCAGGTGGAGGGGCCCCACACAGCACTGCTCTGTCTGCCTGGCTGAGCACAGTCTGCCCTTTCATACTGGAGCTGTATTCTACGTCACACACTTTATGACATGGCTGAGGTGGCGGTGAGTGTACACGCAGGAGAGGAGAGTAGTTCATTTTGGAGGGCATCTTCAAACCTAAACTACTGAAGATATGCTTAAAGAACACTTCACTGCACAGAACTGGACTCCTGCTAACAGGCCTGACTTTCTTGGAGGGTTTCACAGCTGATTGGAATGACTTCTGATTGTCCCTCTTGTTTGATTGGTTGTTACATTTCTTCTTCTCTGACCAAAGAAACAGGATCTGAGCCTCCTCAAGCTCGACATCCTTTATTTAAAACAAGACAAGTGTGTCCAAATATTCAGTAAAGTTCTTCTGTTTTATGAGGAATCAAATTGTTTCGGTGCCATATTGCTACTTTATTGTTTACCACAGAATAATAAAGCTGATAAGAGATGGAAATCTCTTTGGAAATATGTGCTCATCATTATATTTTTTGCTAAGGATAATTACTCTACATGAGAGATAATTGACGGATCATATACACCATCAGTTCTGTAGAATTTTACACTGCTGCCAACAGCGCAGTAACTCGCGGCAAACAACACATATAAGTGAGGAGATAACATGTTCGTCAAGAGATTATCACACTGATTATAGTTCACTGATAATATGTCACTGAACTAGATAGTGTAACACAAGAGAAGCAGGGTTTAGTAGAATATAATCACATTTCCAGATATTTCACCTCTTTTTTAATGGTCTAATAGCATCTGTAAACTATGTTTTAAAGTCCATTTAAATGTTTCATATGAAGATAACCTTTCAACTAAAATGTGAATGAAGAGGAAGGTAAACAAATAATGACTTTATTGAATCTTATAGTTTATTGCTAGCACTTCTTTTATGAATTGTATTTATTTAATTGTATCTGATTTTATGTCACACAAATAGGTTAGTGTCTAAAGGACATTACCAGAATGAACTCCACACTATATCATTCTTCTACATTTACAAAAATGCTTTAAAAAATCTGTTCTCTCTGAAGTTGAGTTTACTGACCATTTTCAAAAGGAAAACTCCCAAGGTGCTATCATCTCCACCCCCCTCACAAAGGCAGATGTTCTAGAAGATGAAAAGAGAAATTAAACCTTTTGAAATTTCACTCATGAAAGAGCGTGTAATTATTAAAATGTTATCTGGATGTAAATTAAAAAATGTTCTGGTTCCAAAGCACATGGAAAATACAAACCTGATGGAGGTCATGCTGACACATTCACTATGAGGGCCGAAGCAGTCATCCATAACAAGCCGTGAATAAAGAGCTGAAATTATGATGTCTGTTATAAGCTTGGCAGAAACAGCAAAGCCGTGACAGGAACAGAACGTGCTGCATGTCAAAATGCCCTCCTGTACAACAACATCACAGTGAAAAAGCAGGTTTAGAAAGGTTTCATTTAAAACCATTTAACCAAACCATTTAAAATGCATAACTTCCATAAATTCTCATTTCAGTTGACCTAAAAACACTGTAGCTGACTGGTTTTCAGCACACACTAACCTGGTAGGATGGACCACATCATAGGCTGTAAAATATATAATGAGGATATTTTAGGTTCAACTTCCAAAATCAGTTAAAAGGTCAACTAAAAACCTCCTACCCTTGTTGAAATGAATGCCATTATGCATTCACAAAATGGTCCAAAAATGTAAAAGCCAAAAAAGGCCCTAGTAAGCCACAAGGATTTAAAAAATGTAATGTACTTGAATTAAGCACACATCAATTTAAAACTCCAGCTGGACTGGTCATCAGTCTGACACCATTAACAATCTCTAAATATGTTAACTGGAAGTATTAAATAAATCAACCTTTACTATTAAGACTGTCAGTCATTTTTCTTGTGTGAAAAATGATTCTTATTTAAAAGTGGCTAGCCTGAACTGTGTACAAAAAAGAAAAAACAGGCAAATAACAACAATGTTAATAAATTAAAACTCTTTATTTGACATATCACACACTCACATCCATACAAGCTTATCCTACAGGAAAAATTCAAAAATAAAATATGTAATTGTGAAATGTTAACTACCTGATTTGTGTTGATTTGTTAAATCACTAGTCTTTTTTTTTTTCAGGGATTGGCAGGTTTGGAGTCTACATTGGTAACCCTGACAACAGGCCAGAGGCCCTAAACCAGCTCAGTCCTTTTGGCAATCGAAGGTTACTTAAGTGTTTTTGTTCATAAATTCATAAATATTCTTAACATATGCAAACTCACAGCTCTAGAGTGAAACACTCATAAATGCAACATTTTCAGGGAATCAAAGCTAGAGAATGTACTCCATGTAATACTCCACTTTACGTTTTATTTAAACGCCCCGAAGACACTTGAGAATAATGAGTCATCGTCCCGCATGTCTCCAAAGGGCTTTTGCCCACCTGAAATACAGACAAGAATGCATTAGACCTAAATCAAGCAGCTAAATTAGTCAAGATAATATCAAAAAGCCTGTACACTTCATGAATAGTCACTATGTATTGACTGACCTGATATGGCCGGTCCTCTCTGATGCTCGGGGCCCTCCAGGACCCCGGGCCCTCCGGAGCGGGTCACCGTCGTCTCTTCTTTGCCTTGGCTGTCTCTGACTGTTCGCCTCTCCTCTACAGTCTGACAGACGGCAACACAGTAAGAGACATTCATTGGAATTCACAACAAAGTGGTGAAATAAAAAGAGAGGATGAAGCTAAATGTATAAAATAGTCAGAGAAGTTTGTAATAAATATCTCCCTTTTCAGGGTTTGAGCATATTTTAAAGATAAGAGGGATAATATTGAGAATTTAAAATGTTTCTGTATCAGTACATGCATACATCAGGAGAAACTGTTTCTCTCACCCCGTCAGGTTTCACCACCTTGGTGACGGTGACTGACTGGAAGAATGAGCGGGCTCTGGGTTGGTTGGGTGCCTGACCAGCAGGTGGCGTCAGAATCTGATCCAAGCCCCGAGAGGACACTGCAGAGTCCAGATCTGGAAGGGAAGGATGGGAACAGATAATCAGTCTGAACACAAATCATAAACTTCATTTGTTTTTCTATAGGATTAAACAAAAAAAAACCACCTCTGTCTTCTTTGTGCAACTCTGGAGTTCTCTGTGGGCCTCCTTTCCAAATATCATTAAACTATAAAGAAGAGAAGTTAATACATAAAAGTAACACTGCATGTTGCCACAGAAAAAAAGTATTGATGGCAAAATGGAAGTATGTATCTTAAATCACCTTTGAAAAAGGCGTCCAGCCATGAAATTGCGAGCTTGGGAATTCTGGTGAATCATAAGAAGGATGGCCATCATGTCTGGGCTCAGTTTGGGGTCCCTGTGGCTCTTTGTTGGGAGATCTGAGCATGAAGTCTCTCAGGGGGTTCCCACCAAACCCCCCCGCACCTCTTTCAGCTCTGTCCTGAGGTGGTGATGGCGGCAGGATTCTGGGAACACCTGGAACATAAGAGAAACACAGACTAAATCTACAATGGAGAATTGCTTTAGACTCATTCTCACTAAAAATACAAATTTTGACCATTGACAAACATTAAAACTAAAATAAATACAAATAAAAAAACATGTAAAAAACGTTTGTCCTTGTTGCCATAATATTCTATACCAGTAAGTCACTTGTTGAACTCATCTAAGCACATAGCATTATTTGTAACCTCGACTCAAATCCGGTTACTTAGCTTGAATTGTGCATTGCGTCTTTAAGTGAATGTGTTTTAACATCCTGTCTTGATGTATTATGAAATGTTTTAATGTATCATTTTTAATAGCACAAGCAAACCTAAGTAGTTCCTTTTCTTCTCTATACTGAGATGAGTGGTAAAGTACTGGATCACATGGCAGTCTTCATACCAAAGTGTCCAGAGCCCGGCTGCCCGTCCCAGCCGCCCAGCTGGGAGAATATCTCCTCCATCTCCCTGAGGACCTGGCCGAACATGGGGGGCTCCTGGATCCTCATCCCGTCGGGGCCCACGCTGAAGCCAAACCTCAAGGCACTGTCGAAGGGGTCCTGCTGGTCCCCTCGGAAGCCATCATTGTATCCATCTTCTTCATCATCCTCATCGTCGTCGTCATGAGTCATAGCATCGAAGAAGGGGTCCCTGATGCATTACAGCAAGTCAAATAGATGAGTATTCTTGGCATGGACACCATTTAGCTTTTGTATTGCTAACAACCATTTAGTGTAATGTCGGCTGAGTGTAAAGCCCTATTATGATCACGTTTAATATTATTTTTGTTTATGTTCTAGTAAACACAAGCCATGTCACACGATTGAATGCTCTTAGTTTATCAATGACAGTTTGTCTATACCTTCATGTAATATAAATGAGTCTTCTTAATGTGTGAGTCGACAGGACACCACGTGACTGATGCATTATATTGTACAACTGTTTTGTACTATAATGCTTTAATATGTCTACCATCTTTTTAAATAATTGCAATGACACATACACATTCACTTTTCAAGGCCTAGAAGGTCTTCAGCTATTATCCTACAGATTCACTTGCCAATTATATACACTCCTTTCTTATTCTAATGACATGCGTGAATAAAGAAACAAACAACTGATTGCGTTAATAGACTTTGAAGTACTCAATCGTATTAATCCGGAGGTCACTCTAAATAAAACAGCCACCATGCTAGCCGAGGGACCCCTGTGGTCAGCCTGGCAGGGAAACACTAAAGCTGTTTAACTAAGGAATAGCGTGCGACGCAGGTACCAAGCTGCACCAAGTTAGCGAACTCCTGTTAGCTTAGCTTAGAGTACAGCTGCGTCCTGAATATGACTCAATACACTTACCTTCGGCCACGATAATGGCCTCCGGGTACTCCGAAGAACCCGCGAAATAAGTCAAAAACACTCATTTAACTCCAGCTTTTGTTTTAAAAAAAAATCATAACTAAACACAATTCCAACAGCAGACACGACACGACATCCTCAGTTGTCAACAGTATCGTAAAGTGTTCTAGATACTTCAGAATTACGTAATCAGTCGTAATGCTACGTTACCGTAAGTTATAGAAGTTACGTGCACTCAAAAACTAAGCACACCAGTCTCGGGAGCCTCTTGGATGTCAACAAGGATGCTAAATGCGAAACTCTCGTTTGAGTTTCTAATGTTTGAAATGGAGGTTGGAAGGAATTCAATAATTAAAATGGTTCATCAATGTTGTCCATAATGAAAAGTTAACTTTACTTAAGTACTTAATTTTTACGCTACGTTACATTAGGCCAAGTTGTAAATGTTAAATATTGCTGCATTTTAATACCATGCAAACATATTTGACCATCAACACCTTAACATATTTTAAACAAAACAATGTATGCATGACTTTGGCCTCTAATAAAGTATGATTACTCTATTACAATCGAGTTTGATGTTAAGGTATTCTGATTCTGATAACAAATTACCCAAACACTGCCGGTTGGTTGAAGTGCGCTGAAGTGTTTGCATGTTTAAAGTCCTAGCAACCGCGTTCCATCACCAAGCGACGAGGACATGCGCCCGTCATAAATTAAGTGCAATATAATGTTCATTTGTTTTAATGATGTACTAAAAACAAAAAGAGAAAAAAGAAAACACAGCTGACTCCTTTTCAGCTGTTTGAATACTGATAAGTCACCCAAAATTCAGTGCTAAAAATAGAACTACATACATTCCAAGAACTTTCTGCCTAGTGAATTATAATCGTTACAGTCTGTACAGTAACTAGAACGTGTTCATTACATGTACTGGATTGAAAAATGTAAAGTTTCCCATACATTTGTTATAGTGTAGTGAAAAGAAAAGTTGTGCTTTAACTTTCCACCACGTCTGATAAGGTGCCTTAGCTGAAACAGGACCTTATGGCACTTTCCTATCTATCAGGACCAGCATCATGGTATGTATGTTTACATTAAAGAATGGCCTACATACAATACATACACTGTAAGGATTAGTAAATGGCAAGATTGCAATGTATTCAGATGGCATCTTAAATAACTAACAAGACCAATCTGGTAAGCAACTAGCTGTCATTCACATAGTAAAAAAAAAAGATTATTTAGATTTGAAATTATGCATAGGCCTACACACTATAACAAAAAAGAAACAATGCAAATGTCTGGAGAAGTGCTGTGTTTGGAGAGTAATTTGGCCCTGCTGATCCCTAGTCTGTAGATAACTCAGACACCAACCTTCCAGTCCCTGAGTCAGAGGCCGTTTCTCAATGTCGAGTAAACCTGCTGCAGAGCCACTATTTCAAGTATAATACGTCATTGAGTGGCGCCGAAGGACTGTTTAAATGCATGTTAAATGCCCAGCATTCGGCCCACTCGATGACATAGTATACTTGAAATAGTGGCTCTGCAGCAGGTGTACTCGACATTGAGAAACAGCCAGATAGTTTCAGTTGTGCCAAACACTTGATGGGACAGCTGGTTTGTCATTTCCTTGTTCCCCTGATATCAAGTGTCAGCGACTTTACCGTTTCATCCATCAGATTTATTAGGCCAGCCTTCAGCAACACACACACACACACACACACACTGGGCCTCACGTCAAACTGTTGCTACATTTACAAGCCACATGAGAAACAAATAGTTTCTTAAAAGACATTCACATCCAAAATGATGAAAATGTATTTTTCTTGTTTATTTACTTAATATTTATACAAAATAAAAAAAATATATGAAACGAAAAGCTAACAAATCTGTAAGGATTTGAGAAGGAAAAAGCCATTGAACAAACAGGGACTACAGTACTTGTGTTTTTTTTATATATGTACAAGACAAGTTTATCCATTTAAATTGTTTTTAAAACGCACAGTACAAAAAGAAAAAAGAAATCACTGACAAAAAACCCATAGTACAATTCTGTCCATCAGTATTCAATGCTGCAGGTTTCCTTACAATAGGGGACAGGTGGTGAAGCAGGGAGGAGGTGGGGGGCCTCAGAAAACTAAATAAAATTAAACGCACTGGAAGGCAGATTGGGTGTGTATTGGCCTTGGAAATCATTCAACAACTCTTGCAGAATAGGTGGGGCCTTAATGCAACATCTTTATAATTCATGGGAACAATTATTGTACAAGTGTGGGATAATGAAAAATTCTGTGCTAGGGAAAAAACAAAGCACAGTACACAACCATGGCCCCCGTGTGTACAAACATGCACGCAGTCACATGACGAACACACTTTCCTCACAGTCCGAGCCAGTGAGTTCGCTTATATGTCTTTATATATAATATATCTATATTTGGTAAAAAATAAACTTCACAACTCTACCAATTTAGAGAATTGTTTTTTTTTTTCAAACTTAAAATGACAAAAAAAAACATTTAACAGCAATCAAGCTAATTTTTGTGTTTGGGCATTTTTTTTTGTGAGGGAGGGGAAACGTTTCCACGAAAGTTAAAGAGTGGGGATTTGAGGGTGAGAAATACAAAACCAGCCTGTCCCCCCACCTTCAGATATTACTTCATTCCTCCCCATCTGCAAGAAAAAAAGGGGAGAGGGAAGACTAAAAAAAAAAAAAAACAGACCATACAGGAAACATTCATTCTTTTAGAAAACAGTTCTATGTTACATACAAGTCAAAGAAAAAAAGAGGGCGGGCTGGGGGTTTAACACGATACAAATTCCCAACACTCAATATTTCACCTCTTGAGGGTGCATTTCTATAACCATTTAGCTTTGATCTTCCCCTCTCTTCTAAGCCCTTCCTGCCCCCCCCCCCCACCCGTCCATGCATCGTTACAGTGCTCGTCCTCTCGGCACAGCACCTCCTGACCACAGGCAGAGCGCAGGAGTGCTGGGCCAAGAGACGGGGGCGGGATCTCTGCAGGAGGAAGAGGGAGTTTATATGTGGAGACCGTCTGCGGAAGGAGTGATGAGCCCCCTTCTAACTTCTGTTAACAGCGTGGGGGCCCAACAGTAGATGTTAGTTGGCCCCCCAGTTGTAGGTGTTGTATGCCGACTTGTTGATCTGAGACTTCTGCTGAAGGGAGGCGTTCTGGCTGCGCTGTCCAGTGCCGCTCTGTGGGGAGAGGAAAGAGTTGATGTGAGCTGTCCATCAATGCCATGTTTTAACTCAAGTATTTTGTTGCCAAGCGACAGGACAAACCTAAATACACTTAATGATTAATCTGAAAATAGACCACTTTAAAATGGGATTGCAAACATTGGCCTGGACATTACCTACAAGGCATGAAAATAAAAGCACAGGCTACAGTGTTTCCACTAGGATTAGCTTTGTGTCTAAACAATCAAACAGTCATTCTACCACCACACAAAATTCTGTTCTCGAATGCAATCACTTTATAATTTCCATCTTATTCATCGGTTATGTTTGGAAAACCCCATGAGCCCTCCTTAAACCACATCAACATAAATTCGCATAGCACTTATTAAAAAAGCTGTTAGCCTGCTTCTCCAGATATTTCTTACTTCCATAACAATGGTTTTCCTTTTAAAAACAAATGCTGACTGGTGTGTTGCCACTCCATGCCAAATTCATCACAGCACACAAGGCTAAATGATGATGAATAAAAACACGAGTAACCTGTGAGTTCATATAATCTCTGATAATTATAAACAAAAGAAAACCAGAACTAAAAGCCAATTAAGTGTCTTTATGTCTTGATTCCTAACCTGAACTATAGGTGTGAAATCAAGCTGCATCAACAGATGGAGAAAAACACAACGGTGGCATTTCCTGTACCTGTCCGTCCTGCTGCAGGTGGTGGTGCAGAATCTGAGAGTGGGGTTGTTGGTGAGGGGCCAGGATGTGCATGAAGGGGGCTGGGGCGTAGGCAGTGGCAGCCGGGGGGTTGATGGGACCCCCACTCCCCAGAGCTGACGGCAGGCTGAACGAAGCTGCAGGCGTGCCAGCGTGGAAACCCTGCTTATCGAACGACTGCAGGGGGAAGGGAGACAAAGACAAGACATGACATCTTTGTTTAATTCAAACTGCATGGAGGGGGGAAAAAGTTGTTTCCTGTGAGAATGGGCGTCAAATATTTATGATCTGTAATTACCTGAGTCTTTGTGTAAACGGACCCTGAAATGTCTGGTACCCCCGTGTTGCTTGATGTCACAGAGACTCCTGCAGACACAGAGGAGACAAGTGTGTGTATTGTTATTTGTGTTGAATAAATGCTACAGGCCCAAGCCAAGCTGCGTGGTCCTGCTGCCCACCTGCTGATTACAATTCCTGGATTAGACCCAAAGTGAAAAACAACAGCTTAAGGTGGGCTGACCTTTAAGGTGGATCCTTTATTCTCACAGGTCTTTTGTTATTAATTTAAATGTCAGGAAGAGCCCAGGAATAAAAAAGGAAAAGTCAAATCATATTTAAGTTGTGAAGGCAACTGATTGTATTTGATGAGCACACAATATCTCAGGCCACTGAATCGAAATCCTTTTGTCGTAGAATTTGTGCCATCTGCAAAAATACTGTCGTTCAAAGAACCAATATAATATTGTATCGGGATGAAACTTGCAATTTACATCTCCAAGTGTGTAAAAGCTACAGCATGGCGGGACTACACACTTTTATTGTATCAGGGCAACAAAAAAAATGCAGTGTGATGTGGGTTCTTCTTTATAGCAGTACTTTGTGATCTGCGTATAGAATGGTATATACGAGAGTTTCCCGTCAATAATACAAATAAAGTTATCTAAACACTTAAATGTGGGGTAGGTCATTTGAGAAACCAGCTTGAGTGCGCTAGAATTTGATAATACACAACCGGAAAAAATCTGCCACTTCCTTATAGAGCCCCTCCTCCAACACACACGAACGCGCACATGACCAATGAGGGCACAAGATAAGTTTGTGCACAGATGGAAGGCTGACAGGCAGGTAGGCCATCCAGTTATTTTAGCCGGCCCAGCTAAAATGATTGGTCGTGCTTTTTACAGTACTACGGCTTCCACAGATGACATTTTTTTATGGATTTTTTTTCAAAGCACTTAAGATATTCATTGCT